ATGAAGGACTCCGTAGACGCCCAACTCCGAGACCAACAGGCAGGATTCCGTAAGGATAGATCGTGCACAGACCAAATCGCAACTCTACGGATCATTGTGGAACAATCAATTGAATGGAATTCATCACTCTATATCAACTTCATCGACTACGAAAAAGCATTTGATAGCGTGGACAGAACAACCCTATGGAAGCTTCTTCGACACTACGGCGTGCCTCAGAAGATAGTCAATATCATACAGAATTCCTATGATGGATTAAACTGCAAGATCGTTCATGGAGGACAGTTGACAAAGTCGTTCGAAGTAAAGACCGGTGTCAGGCAAGGTTGCTTACTCTCACCCTTTCTCTTTCTCCTGGTGATCGACTGGATCATGAAGACATCAACATCTGAAGGGAAGCACGGGATATAGTGGATAGCTAGGATGCAGTTGGATGATCTAGACTTCGCAGATGATCTGGCTCTTCTATCGCACACACAACAACAAATGCAGGAGAAGACAACCAGTGTAGCTGCAGCCTCAGCAGCAATAGGTCTCAATATACACAAAGGGAAAAGCAAGATTCTTCGATACAACACAACATGTACCAATCCAATCACAATTGACGGAGAAGCTTTGGAAGATGTAAAAACCTTTACATATTTGGGCAGTATCATCGATGAACACGGTGGATCTGATGCAGATGTGAAGGCACGGATTGGCAAAGCAAGAGCAGCATATCTACAACTGAAGAATATCTGGGACTCAAAACAATTAGCAACCAACACCAAAGTCAGAATTTTCAATACAAATGTCAAGACAGTTCTACTGTATGGCGCGGAAACCTGGAGAACTACGAAATCCATCGTCCAAAAGATACAGGTGTTTATTAACAGTTGTCTACGCAAAATACTTCGGATCCGTTGGCCGGACACTATTAGCAACAACCTACTGTGGGAGAGAACAAATCAGATCCCAGTGGAGGAAGAAATCAGGAAGAAGCGCTGGAAGTGGATAGGACACACATTGAGGAAAGCACCGAACTGCGTCACAAGACAAGCCCTCATATGGAACCCTCAAGGTCGAAGGAAGAGAGGAAGACCAAAGAATACATTACGCCGAGAAATGGAGATAGATATGAGAAAAATGAACAAGAATTGGATGGAACTTGAAAAGAAGGCCCAGGACAGAGTGGGTTGGAGAATGCTGGTCGGCGGCCTATGCTCCATTGGGAGTAACAGGCGTAAGTAAGTAAGTAAGTAATTTTTGTAAGGATCTATTTACTACAAAAAATTCCATGTTATAGGTATCCTATGAAAGTCAGTTAACTTTATCCAATCACTGAAACTAAATTGTAAGATCATTATGTTACACATTCAGTTAGTATATAAACATTTCAAGATGTATCCTATACCAGTTGCATTGTATAATATAGATTTTTTCTCTATTTTATGACCTCATTATCCATTTAGTCTAATTTTCTAAAAGATTTAAATCATTAAACGAATATTCTATATTCGTCAGCCCTGCCTGATTTAAATCTTATTTGGATTTCAGGTAAACAATGTGGTTTCGGATTTCTCTCTCTCTCTCTCTCTCAGTATATATGTATATGGAGAGAGAGAGAGAGAGAGAGAGAGAGGAAACACTAACGTGTCAAGTCGCCGACAACAAATGTGTCTTATAATTTTCTTCAATAGTGAGTGACTAGACAAATTAGAAAGAACGATAAATATTTTAGTCTGTACATTTATATGTCTGTACATTATGTAAATACACTGACATTGAATATTTAACTCAGAGAGATCAAAGTTAAGTGGTTCGTTCATTCACAAGGTTATGTAAATGAATGGAAGAAAATAGCTAATAAAATAAGTAGTGTCTTTTCATCCAATTCTATAACTACTTTAATATATAAGGACTTATTTCTTGGTACTCGTTCGTATTTAATTATTTCTCACAAACATGAAAATATTTGGTGTCATATAATTCAGGATACTGTTATGTCTTAAAACGTAAACTAATAAAATATATAGTCATAAACCGATTCATAAAGTAACTGATCAGTAAGCGGGTAATAAGTAATGCTACTATAAGCAAAGGTGGATAGTGGCTAACAGTGGAATCCAGTTTGTCTTACTTAAGACTCGTCAGCTGGATGTATTTACATCTCAGAGTTGATGTTCACTCTGGGACTCAAACACAGTATCGTTTGCTTCAAATACCATCGCATTATCTACTTAGCTACTGAGTCCTGATAGCCCTTTGCTTGTGCAATGGGGTGAAGTTTAAATTCACTTGGTATTGTTTACTTGTATCTTTCCATTGTTATAGGATGAAACGCGCGTCAAACTGGATTCCACTGCTAGCCACTATATATCTTTGTTTAAAAGCTTGTGACATAAGGCTATATCAAGGCAATCTGAACAGGATGCACATATGCCAACAAATGACAGATCAATTACAGTTCTAAATAACGATGGGAAGATACAAGTGAAACAATACCAAGTGAATTTAAACTTCACCACATTGTACAAGCAAGTGACTATTAGGACTCAGTAGCTAAGTGGATAACGCAATAGCGTTTGAAGCGAATGATACTGAATTCCAGTCCCAGAGTGAACATCAACTCTGAGATGCAGGTACATCTAGTTGACGAGTCTTAAATAGAACGAAACATGCTTTATTGTGAATTCCATTGTTAGCCACTATTCATCTTTGCTTAATGAGTCGCTTTTTTTCTGTTTCATAAAAGTTAATATATTGTGTGATGATAAACACAATTTTACACAGCTACCCACTATGTAATTTTACTTTGCCGAAACATGGATACCAATTTTTAATTCATATTTAATTAAGGGTCAACATCTCAGTAATAATATCTTACTAAATTTCTGGCTTTAAGAAAGTGTCTTTTTATACCTCGTATAATAGGTTTAATAAACAGGCATAATTGATTTATTTCATTTCTGAATTTAAATTAACTCATTACAACAACAACAACAACAACAAAAGAGACCACGTTTCGTCTATTGATATCTAAATAGTATACTTATTATACAGTATAAGAGTATTCATCTCAATTATTTCCGATATAAAGACATATCAAGTTAGTTTTATACTGAACATCTGAACATTTCAGTTGTGAATATTCAATTAATGAATTCCTATAACTTTCTTGGATTGAATAAGATATAGTTTTTTTTTTTGATGAAAAACGATTGTTTACAAAAGAAAAATGGTGTCAAATAAAAACAACAAGAACATAAATAGAATAACAGTGTAGGGGTTATGGAGATGATTAAGTTTTTGATTGAGATCATGAATCAATTGATGTTAGACCAACATTGAAAACCTTTAAGCAAAAATTTAATCATCTTCACATGATTGCGCGCGAGACCGAAGGTTCTGGGTTCGAATCCAGCGAGCGGGATCGTTGATGAGCACCGCTGAGTCCCACAAGAGGACGAAACAACTGTCTAGTGCTTCCAGGTTTTCAATGGTGGTTTAACATCAATCGGTTTATGATCTCAACCGAAAAGTTAATAAATAGAATAGTTTATAATATCATTCATTGTTCCTTTTGTATTTCTAAGGTAAACTAATATGTTGATAATGAATGCTGGTAAAATGTTAGAAAAAAAACTGTTTAGATTTTTAAAAAAAATGTGGGTGAAGCTAATGATGAGATTTGTAGTTTTTGCAAATATTATAGTTGGTTAACTATTAAAATGTAACACCTAATCTGTAATACACACTGTATTCTTCAATAAACTCACATTTATCGAAATAATAATTTAAGGCTCCTAAATGCCCTGGTAAGGCCGAGAGTGAAGAGAGATCGCTCTCCCTCTCGAAATGCACTTACATCGCTACGCGTATATAGCCACTGAAAGGGAAGTCATACTAAATGCCTTCTCATGGCGGGGATGCTGTTTACGAAATTGGGAAAACGAAAAGCGAATGTCCGGCGCATTAACTGCGTTGGTGGAAGTTGGAAAACCGTAATTTAAAACCACTGGTGCACATGGGATCCAAGATCATGAAGGAACAAGGTGTATGAACCAATCAATAGTCAGGGGCTACCATGGGACTGTATCTCCTTACGTTGCTCCCCTACCTTGTGGATAAGACCTGTAAGTCAAAGACTTGGGGTGTTGGTTCCTAAGAAAACCACCTGTTTCGGTTTGGACATCCGGTACAGTATTACAGCACTCACATAAATCAAGTAACTTGTGTGGCACATATGTATTCAGTTCCCCTTTATTCTATGAAGATGAAAAAAAAAGTTTCATACTAATAATTTACAATGTACTTGTCATTCAGTCAGCTACAACGTAGCACCAGGCACATATATGCTTCGGTACAAGTTGTCACATCTCACTCATTAGCACAACAAGATGAACACCAGATCCATAGAAGTAGTTACTTCAATGGTAGTAATATATAAAAGAAAGCTTGCGTATAAGAATATAATATAATACAGGAAGAAAGAAAGATATGAAGCGATTTCAGTCTCACGATTTAAGGGAAGACAAAGAGTGTATACACCTACATCTTTGTGATCGATTCTGAACCATGTCACCAAAAGCCTCCAACCATTGGTTACGACAGTCACGTGGACGCCAACCAAGTAGTCTGCATCTACCAACATGGCTCAGACCAGAAATTAGTGACTTCAATGACTGATTCCACCTTTCGTTTTGTTCGCCCCTAACTTTCTTCTAACCGTCTCCAACACTAGTCAATATAGCGCGTCATGGTAATTGGTGTTCAGGCATATGTAACACGTGGCTCAACTATCTTAGTCGATGAAGATTCACCACCTCATCTGAACCATATCAATCACAGTCTCTTATCATTAGTTACGATAGTCATGTGGACTCTAATCAAATAGTCTGTAATTGTATGAGTTAACAATATATCAAGTGTAAACAATTATACAATAGACAGTATTAAACAAAACAAAATAATTAAATATAACTACATACATCAATGCATCATAAAATGTCAAGACTTACTGTATTTATTAAATGCCTTAAATTTTGAACTAATTTATGAATACCATGACGAAATTGTGAACGTAAATGCTTAGGCCATAGATTTGTATTATTATTATTATTATTATTGTTAAATAATGTATCGTATGAATTTACTTTTGTTATAGATGTAAATTCATCATTATAATAATAATTTATACATAAATTTCGTACTAATATAGTCCAAGTTTTTGTTAATTGAAGTATTTGGGTTAAACAATCAAATTCCCAATTATTATTATTATTATTATTATTATTATTATTATTAGTAGTAGTAGTAGTAGTAGTAGTAGTAGTAGCAGTAGTAGTAGTACTGGTAGTATTAGTATTAGTAGTAGTATTAATAGTAGTATCTTTATCTTTACATAAATTAATATATTGATCAAATGGAAATGATAATAATAATGGTAAATATATATTACCCATTGATATAATTAATTTTGATGCAATACGTTGATGTATAAAATAATGATAAACATTTAATAATTCCATATGTCCAATTGTTAAATGTGATAAACAACGTAAACCTGCTTCAATTAAATCTAATGTTGAATTAAATATTGATATATTTAATAAATTATTTAATTTATTATTATTATTATTATTATCATAAGAAGAAGAAGTATAATGATTTAATAAATGTAATTCATTTTTTTGTTTTATTGATTGATTATTGATTATTGATGATGATACTGTTGTTGTTGTTGTTGTTGCTATGATTGGATATTTTGTTACATGGTTGTGATTATTATTATTATTATTATTATTATTATTATTATGTAATTTATTTAAACATTTTTTAACTATATTAGAATGATCATTATCATTTTTACATTGAATAGACATATTTAACATGGATTGACTAAGATTATCACAAAATGTATGATAATAATTTTTTTGTCCACTTATTTCACTATACAATATTTGCATGATTAAATCAATTCCATTATGCTGAAAATATAAAATAAAAGTTTATAAGTAAGAAATATAAATAATATGTAATAAATATTATTTGAATATAGATATAACTACATATTTGTAATTCAGTCCTTAAATACCCCCCAAATGCCCTGGTATGGCCGAGAGTGGGGAGAGTCCACTCCCCCTCTCGAAATGCTCTCACATGGCCATGCGTATATAGCCTCTGCCAGGGAAGTCCTACTCACTGCCTTCTCGTGGCGGGGTGTTGCTTACAAAAATGAGAGGACGAAAAGCGAATGTCCGGCGCTTTAACCGGACCCCAAACCAATGGTGCACATGGGCTCCAGTATCCTGAAGGAACAAATGGCGTATGAACCAATCGTTGGTCACCGGCTACCATGGGACTGTAACTCCTTACGATGCTCCACTGCCTTGTGGGTCAGACGTTCAGGTCGAAGGCTCGGGGCGTGACCCCCTAAGAAAACCACCTGCTTCGGTTTGGGCACCCGGGCAGTATCACAGCCCTCACACAAATCAATTGAGATTCGTGTGGCGCATATGTACTTGGTGCCTCCCTGTACCTATACTTATGTGTTAAAATGAAATGAATGAATGAAATACCCTGGTACGATTGAAAGTGGGGAGAATAAACTCTCGCTCTTGAAATACTCTTACATAGCCACGTGCATACAACCACTGCCATGGAACTTCTACTCACTCACTGTCTTATCACGGAATTACAGTTGTTTACGAAATTGAGAGAACGAAAAGCGAATATCCGACGCTTTAACTGGGTTGGTGGATATGGAAGATCCATCTAGGAGAGTTGGAAAACCCTCATTCCAAATCAATGATGCACATAAGCTTCAGGATCCTGAAGGAACAAATGGTGTGCGAACCAGTTATTGGTCACCGGCTACCATGGGACTGCATCTCCTGACGTTGCTCCACTGCCTTGTGGATCGGACCTTTAGGTCGAAGGCTCCAAACATGGCTCTCTAAGAAAACCATCTGCTTCGGTTTGGGCACCCGGATAGTATCACAGAACACACACAAATCAAGTGACTTGTGTAGCACATGTGTATTTGGTGCCCATTTGTACCAATATTTGTGTTCAAAAAAAAGAATAAATAAGTCTTGTCCAAAAGAGATAGCCGGAAGTCTTGAAAATTACCAAGATTTTAAAGATCATTCGCAAGGAATTATCTAAGCATCTTATTGAAAACATGATACCTTTCCCAAAGTAAATTACTTTTAGGGAACGTTATTTATGTATCACAAACTTATTTGTAACGATGGAAAACCGTTACGTTGTGAAAGATCATAAGCTATCCATAGAAATATTTCTCGCCGACTTCCCTAAGGCTTTCAATAGAGTCCAACCCACTAGACTTAATCCAATTGGGTAATATCAGAATCAAGATAAATTTATCTCCATAAAAAAACAATTTTTATCAGTACGCAAACAGAATAGTTTAAATCCAAGTTCTTTGGTGGGAAGTGCTTAGTGGAGCACTACAAAGTACAATCTTGGGACTAGCGTTACTACTCTGGAATGTTATTAGCAGTACCAGCTTTCTGATAGTATCAGTCTTGTTAAAACAAAGAGGACAATGAAGAGCTTCAGAGACCTACGGAAATTAACAGAATGGACTAATATTTAGTAATGACAAAGTAGACTATTATGCATACTGGCTACCATGGCACAAATAATTATATGGTCAATAATGTTGAGTTATCCATTGTCCAGAAACAGTGATTTATGTCATTATCACTCAACATTTGAAAACCATAGCATACTGTTATGCCGTGACTTTTGAGGGTTTTAGAATCATTTAGTCAATACATAGAGCTTACGGTTAATATGTTTTGAGAGATTTATGACATTTCATACAGCCTTTTCTTGAACAAAATCCGTGTTGCACACAGCCTGATCGTCTGGAAAAGACTTACGTAACGTTAACTGATTTTATTCTTGGAATCTTAGACATGACGTGACGACGTTGGTAGAAATAGGGTCTTTCAACTGTCCTGAGTTTGGTGAGAATCTACTATGCTACCAGGGATACACTTATACAACCTTCGTAAGGGAAATCCTGCTCATAGCCTTCAGATGGAGAGGTGCACTTTGCGAAAAGTGACATAAATCGGACGTCCGGTCAGATAACTGGGTTGGTGGATGCAGAAGGTATACCCAAGACGACTTTTTAACAAGCGTTAGTGAAATGAAACGGAAAATACGTGAAAACAAAACTCTGGTACGACGTCGGTTTCAACTAGCCGACAAGACTTAATAGGTTTGTATGTGATGTAGGAACTACAGAACTATTAAAGTGACTAAAGTGTTGACCAATAACGTTGGTGGATAACGTTACACACCTTATTTTGTTAAGCGTTATAGGAAACGGGAATCTTAGCTACTTAATATTAAGTTATTGATTCTGGATCGGATGAGATGTAACCACCATATTGATGTTGGATACATTAAAGAACTTGGAGAATTCCTGTTCAAAAACAAACGGAGGCTAGTACTACCTGGACTTCTAGTGGTTACACATTTGTACTCTAGAATAATTGATAAGATACATGTGGAATCATCCCACTAGACCAACTTATACAGTCAAGTGATTTTAAGCTATAGTTTCAGAAAAAAATCTTTAAGATCGAATTCAATTAACTCATTCTCCAGGCACTTGGTTATGAACCACACTGACAATGAAGGCTATTGATGCTACCAGGTTACCCAGATCGAAGTAAAACAGCGTTCGACCTAGGACTTTAAAATCGAACGCCTTACCACTAGGTCATCGCTCCATTCTTGATTAATTGGAGGAAGTAAAAGACCACCAAAGATTTAAGTGTGAATTAGAACAAGGTTTAAGGAAATTTTTCCGAAAACTTACCCGAACAACGTAGGACTTTGCAGCATTGTTTCTACATGTTAAATTTGCTAGTGCTCCTAGAACACACCGGGACACAGGTGCATCACCTCCAGTATTGGTTGAATAGTAAGCTCCATAGCTATCGTTACATATGTTGAGTCTCAGTTGACAAAGAAGCTGTCTTACCACATTAACGGAGACATCCGATGTTATATTGTCTACGGCAATATCTGAAAGATTTCGCATAGTCCATAGAGCATTTGTTATTACTCGCGATGAGTGACATTCTAAACAATGAGTAAAGAAGTCCAAATGTGGATCTTGAGCAATTATTTCATATTTGACGGGAATCCATGCAGACAAAACTCGAAGAAGTCTGGTAGCCGTCCATAAAACTTTTTCGTAAGTTGAAATCATGATAACTTTTAGAAGGGAAGATAGTCCACCTTGTTCCTTAAACGTTTTTTTCGTACTTTCAGACCTGTATGCTAATATATACAAACAATCACAGAGAACTGCTAAGAACTTTGGATTGATACTCTTCTGTAAGTTTGATGAAGTTAATGAATACGGTGTGTCTGATTTTAAGTGCTCAACAGAATAATTTAGAAGATTTATTAAACGATTAGAAATGCATGTTCGATTGATGAGACCTTTTGCTGTTTTGTGACTTAATAATATGTTGTGTAGGGCAGTCACACAGAAGTATAAAACAGATTCAAAAGGGAAAAGCAGAAGCCCGTTAATGACATCAAGCCCTCCATTGTTCACTATCATGACCAGTCCATCTGGACATTGCGAAAAATAGTTTATAATGCCGCTCATGCAATGAATTACATCTACGTACTTACTGGCAGAAGGGCAAAATACAGGTATCTTTACATTGTAAAAAACATCTGGACATATACGGGCGATAAATGATGCATATCCACATCTGCATAAATTGAATAAATAAGTACATGCGTTAAGACTGATGTCAATATCCACATTAGAAAGACACTGTACTGCCTGTATAACTGTCACGGAATGTGTTTCATAGAAAGAAAGTAGATCACAGTATAGATATTCAGCATCATCTGGACGTTCGAAATTGAAGACCGCCGATGTGTTACAAGAGGCTGGAGTCTCCACACTGACTCCGGAGTCGGAATTATACAAAGACGAAGAGTCACTCCCACTGCTGTCAAAATCAACTTCAAAGTCCATTGTCACCTTGCCTTCTGATAGGATGGTCATATTCCACCAAATGCTTATTGTGGATCGACATTGACCACGATGATCTCAGAACTAAAGTTGAACAGGGCCGAAGGTCAAAACTCTAAGTGATGGTATTGACAAACAAATATTCAACATCCCAAATAAGAAAATCTTTTAATACCTAATATCTTCGTAATTTGTTGGAACCAGCAACTAGGTTTTCACTTATTTCAGTAATTCATTTGCTATGTCATCACGTAAAAGAAACGAGAATATTGAAAGAGTGGTACATACGTGTGTTCTCAACAATTCGGGATCGTTTTCCCTCACAAATGCATACATAAAACTTCACGGGTCTCACAAAATACACTGAGGAAAATCAAATCTATCACGTGTGAATCAATAAAAGATTCAGAAGGACCATGGAGACTCAAGGAAAAAACGAGAAGGTGACCTGAAATCAGGTCACCACCTGGTGATGGTCAAGCTGGAAATAAAGCAAAAGAGGCGTCGGATAACCGTGTAGGCACCACTATAAAAGTTTGATATTGCCTTCCTCCGAGACGCAAACAAACTCATCGGACTCAAAATGGCTCTCCGCAACAAGTTCCAAGTTTTAGAAAATCTGCTAGAAAGAGAAACTACTATGGAGAACATTTGAAGAGGAATTAAAGAAGTGATAACAAAAAATAGACCTTTGTTGACAGTATGGACAGGATTCAAGAAAGGAAGGTTAAGAAAGCAGCAGTCGACAACAATCAAACAGAGCAAGAAGGACTAAGACAGGCCGAATAAGCAGGAGCAGTCAACCATGTGGAGAAGAGCATCAAAGCCTTGAGTGAAAATATGTGGGAAACCTAGCAACGACGGCGGAAAAAGCTGGAAAATATAGGGAAACTATATGATTCAACTATGAAGCTAGCACAGAAATATGGCAAATCCGAGGGAAGAAAGTGTAGTTCAATCGACGAAGTTCAAGATCAGCAGGAAGGATGGGTAGGACAACCGAAAGAGCTTTGGAATAAACCGGCGCCACTGGACCTATCAGACATCGAAGAAGCACACACGGGCCTCCCTATGGATGATACGTCAATAATAATCTAAATCTGTTAGGCCATCATGCAAATCAAGAATCACAAAGCAGCATGACCAGATACTACATCGGCTGAAGCACTGAAGTTAGGTAAGGAGGTAACTGAAAAGGTTCACCAGAAGCCAAACAATACAGGTGGTGTTAGTTAAGAGAAAATGTATATTTCATTTTAGCCAGAGGCAAAAGAGTATGAAACATCTGTGCTGTGTGGAGAAAAACGGAAAGACATCTGGCATTAGATCCGCTGCAAATAGATGGAGAATCTCAACAGTAGTTTCTTCTTCCGAAAAGCTCGTTTAAACTAATGAAGTAAGAATCAATATCGAATGCTTGCACAGCTATCTAATTTGGAGAGTTACTTATTGGAGTTACTGTCAGCTCACCTAGGAGTACATCCCGGTGTGTAAAGTATATGAAAATCACAGTCTCTCTCTAATATTATCTCACTGACAAGAGGCTGCTCAACAGTTACTCAATAGATTCCTGTGGTAGTTTTTGTGCACAAGCAGATTTTTACAGTGAACCAAACCGCTTCGGATGTTGTAACTAATGATTCTGTAGCCTGTTATTTTTCTATATTTCAGTGAGAATATTCTAGTTGCTAAACTCGATTTTTATGCTGTTTGTCCTTTGATCTTTCTGTTCGGCTGAGGTGTGTACGCTCGATTTGGTTCGTGATTAGACGTTGGTTCATCGTTGATCTTTGCGTAGCCACTGTAGCGGAAATAGGCAGTAACTTGAAAGTTATACAGATCGGAATAGCTACTTCGTCAATTATTTTCTCGTATCACTGAATAAAAATGAAAAGAATTTGAAGGAATTTTTTCCTACCTAAGAATCCGTTTATGTAACACATTTTTAATGACGGTCATATCTCATCTGTTTTTTAATGAATTTTCGTAGGACAAAGTCTTATAATCAATCATTTGTGTTGTGTTACGTTTATGCATGTCATATACGGTATCCATTCTTTAATATTGGATGAGTAACTGTTATGACTTGTGAATCGAATGCTACTTTTGTATCTGGTCGTCGCTGATTGTTATGTCGGAATCGCTGACCACTTATGCTCGGAACGAAGGGACCTCCACAATTCCCACGACGCGAAAGTAAGAACACAAGACTGATATAAGCGAAGTTTTATTAACCAAAAACACTATAATGATGACGACGACCTTAGTCGAAAATACACTCATTTATATATTGATTATACAACCATTTTGATTAATAATTAGAATGAAATCATATATATGAAAAATACTCAGTTATCACCAATCACATACTGAGCATAGTTCATGTCAATTGAATACAAGAATACTGTATATTATACAGAATAAAATATCATACGAGAAAAGAAAACAAATACTACATTGAGTAATCATTACAATGAATCAAAACAGAAGTAATGTTGAATAAAACTTATAATGAGTAAATCGATCGAAAATTGACTTTCTTTCCATCATATCAGTAACTTATTTGCAAGGCTATAGCTGACAACAGTATAGAATAATTTTCATACTATGTCCTCTGATTAAAGGGAGGGTTGAGTTACTGACCAGCAAGCATTGATGGTGATGGCGTTGACTTCAATCCACCCGTGTTTGTGGGGCAGAACATTTTGTATGCATCAGGCTCTTTATGATTGGGCACAAGTCAATTAATCTGTGATATAGATTGTCTTCCTACGTTCACTACTCAGATTCATGTTTCCAATTTTATACTGGATTGGCTATTCTACTAAGACAACCTATAACATGCTAACTCGGACTTTTACACATGGATTGTGTGGCTGGCATCGGATGGACGAAAAAACGAAAAAAGAGAGAAAAAATCAGACACAACGTTAAGCAACGTTTGGTGTTCATATCCAAGTGCCGTGATGCTCTGCAATTTCTCTTTTTTATTTTCTTCAGAATCTTGCTCTGAGGGCGCAGCTATGGAACTTCTGATGTCCGGAACAAACTTGACGTATGCGTCAACTCAAAGTTATGGTTTATAGCAAGCGCTTTACGAGTCTACTTTATAACAACTATAAACTTAATAAGTTGGGAAGCATGCTATGCTCCAACAAGTGTTGTAATTTGTAGATCATGCCTGTAAAAATGGCGTGTACCTGCTCATGCAGATATATTATTATTATTCCGAATACACTCTGTCGAATTATTTTTTGTTCACTTGTAAGCTCAACTTTACACTCTTCTTGGGCCTCTACAAATTTCAGATGACACTTAAATCTGGATCAATTTTTGTTTTTTTATTCTGCACATTTATCTTCGAGGAATACTTCTTACATCGTTCTTAAACTATGATGATCTGTTTCCTGTCGTTCGAGATCCATGCCATCTTAAAGGTTCTTTCCAAAGTTCGCCAAAAGTTGACAGGCCCACATAAAAGGATCAACATATTAACGACGGTATAAGCGATCCCTTTTAAAAGATAATTTTAAAGTATGGATGGTGGCGTTTCTGACCAGCGGTACGATTGTGGGGAGATAACCTCAATCCACCATGTCATCAGGACAGAAAACTTGAATTGCGGTTCCTTATGGTCTGGTGGGTTGTCACGAACCAATAGTATTGATGATAATTCCCTATGACAAATACTTCTTCGACTCATGTCTATAGTCTTGAATTGGTTTTACGTCCTAACGGAAAATCCTATAGCAAGCAAAACTGGGCAATTACGCATAATAAGAGTTCACTCTCCACTCTGCAAAAGTTACAACAATAAAAACGAGTTATAATAATTTTGACGAAAGAAGCTAGTTGATATTCAAACACTGTGTTTTTCTTATTGACTTTAAAAGAACAAAAATAAAAACTTTCAACCCTTTTAAATCGCTGCCGTTTGTACAATCCTGTATTCACCTAGTGCCATAATTCGGTTTGTTTTATTTACGCTGAAGAAATACAATTGCATAGTGACCTAGTAAAAAAGAACAAGTCTAAGTATTCACACCTTAATTATTCCATCACAACTGACTGAACTTCAGTAGTCATGAACACTGTACGTCCAGTTTCTCTCCCTCCCCTTTTCCCCTTTTCCCCTTTTCCCCTTTCTGATTCAGCACCCTCGTGGTATGCCACCGAGAACATATGGAGCATATGACTTCGTCCTGCCCCATCAC